CCTCCATCTCCACTACCACCACCTCTTCCACAGTTCATTTGAAAAAGAGTTCAATAAAGGAAACTGGTCGGTTGGGTTGATTTGTCTAATTTAACCCAACTTGCTTAAACTCGAATCGTCTTTAATGCATCTCATTTCAACCCGTACAAACTTGCTTGTTTGCCACCACTTCTATACAGGACACATATAAGGTTGGGCTCTCATTTTCACCGTCTAACTTGGACTAGGGTATGTCTCGCTATCCTAAGCATGAAAGCATCTTATTAGATGCAAAGAACTAGCAGCTGATGAGTCCATTGATGGTGCTTGTAGGATTGTTTGGTAAAAACTACTTTGTTATGTTTAATTCAACGGAATGAAAATAGAATGGAATAGAATGCTCATTCCTTAGCCTCCCAACGGTTGCGAATTAAACATTACCTTCTTTTAATCTTACCTAATACTAAGTTAACTGCGCGACTACCAACAAAAAGAACAAGTAATGTTAGTTTAAGTAGAGCTCCCCGAAGGTCTGACCTATATAGTATCAAGAACTTCACGTCTTTGGCAACCATATCTCTAGATGCATTCTCTATAGCTAGCTACTCCCCTACTGCTTCAGAGACAGATGCTTCACTTTCTTTGTCCCACTCAGCATCCCATCCCTACACCATGAACATCCATTTAAAATAAAGAACAAAATAAAGGTATATTCCAGTGCAGTCAACAAAATGTATATTTTTCAAAAAATTAAAAGTAAAAATCAGTTTGTTGAGTATATTATGAAAAATCAAGTAAACTCATTATTACTTTTCAAGAATCATTTAAGTTTCCTCACCATTATATTTTTGCAAATCTGTTAGACTATTGAAACTCAACTCAACTTCCACTTCACTGTTTTAGCTCATTCATCTCTTTAAACGTAGTGGCCACTGTGGTGGGGACACAGTTGCAGGTAGGCTACAACCGGAGCTATTGATTTTTTATTTTTATTTTTTCCCTTCTTTTTCCACACAATTTCATAATAACATGTAATAGGATCCAAAATAATTTTTGGTAGATTTTGTTTTGTTTTTAAACAAGATATGATTTATGTACTAAACTTCACATTATTTTAAAGTTGTTGTGGAGATTATGTATTAATTTTCTATATTTTATTGATGATGTACCTATGGATACCTTCTTCCTAATTATGAAAAACAATTATCGAATCATGTTTCATTTTGATAGTCATAGAGTCATGAACATATTAATAGCTTCAAACATAACTAGAAACAACGGCTTTACATACTGGCTACACAGGAGTTGTAAAGGCATTGCAATAGGCCATTACATAATGGTGGTGGCCGTTGTTATGAGTGTGTTTTTTTGTCACACCACTGCAATAGGCCGCCAAAACCATTATCGTACCTAGCAAGAGATTTCGGCCAATTTTTAAAACCATGCGTTCATGTTCAATTTGAAATCCACTGCCAGGCATGGCTTGAGGCTGCAAGCCAAGCAATGGCCTCATTTAGTTCAAATTTCGGTTTTGGGTGCTTCACACACTACTATGCTTATTACAAATTTGACACTTGAGGGATTATGAAAGCGTTATGAAAAATCCATTTTTTTCCACACAAAAGTCATGCAAACACTTCTCCATCTAATAATCCATCCTTCATCGGTTGTAGTGTTTGAAATGCAATCACCAAGGACGTGGACAGCAGAGACGAGAGCGACGACCATGGAACCATAGGGAGCCCAACTCAAACTCGACTTCGACTTCGACTTTGACTTCAATGGAGTGAGTTCACGCAATCCACCGCTACCACTACAAGAATTTTCACTTTTGGCTACTAAATTTTTAGTCGCCAAAGGGTTTCAGCGACTAAATTGTTTGGCCGCAGAAGTAGTCGTCGAAGAATTGTCGGTAAAGGTCATTCGCTAAATGTATTCAATTTCCGACTAAATTTTTGGCCGCCAAAAAGTTGGACATTAAATTAAATTAGTACATTTTCAGCGACCAAACTTTTAGTCGCCTAAAGTCTCACATTTTTAGCTACTAAAATTTTAGTCGACAAAGAGTTCTTGTTTTGGCTACTAAAAATTAGGTCACCTAAAGTCTCACATGTTTGGCTACTAAAATTTTAGTAGGCAAAGAGTTCTTGTTTTGGCTACTAAATATTTGGTAGCCTAAAGTCCCACATTTTTGGCTACTAAAATTTTAGTTGCAAAGAGGTCTTGTTTTGGCTACTAAATATTTAGTCGCCTAAAGTTTCACATTTTTTGCTACTAAATTTTTAATTGGCGAAAGTGTTTTTATTCTTTACCTTTTGTTTTTAGCTATGAAATATTTTAGTCGCCAAATGTTTGATTTTCTTTTGGCTACAAAACTAGCCGCCAAATGTCTATTTTTTTTTTTTTGGCTACAAAACTTTTAGTCGCCAAATGTCTAATTTTTTTTTTGCTACAAAATTTTTAGTCGCCCAAAGTATTTTCCCAATTTCATTTTAGCTGCTAATTGTTTAAGTCGCCAAAAACATGATATTCTGTTTTATCGCAAAATTATAATTTCTCCACAACCTGTCTATATTCCATGCAACCTGTAATACGTATATAAACAAAATGATACATACTATCAATCATTCCACAATCTGCATCCATATACAAAAAATAAATAACTTTAAATGTCAAAGTCCATACAAATCAACTATTGTCCAAACTAAAATTAGCGACTAATTTCTGTATTAGTCGGCAAAGGAATAGATCTCCTGACTAAATTTTTTTGTAGCCAAAAGATTATTGGACAGAGACGAAAATATTAGTCGCCCAAAGTACGATTTGGCGACTAATTTTAATTTAGGTGGGAAAAACCAATATTGCTGATTAATTTATTTTTTTGGGCCTAAAATTTGGACTAACAGCGACCAATCAAATTTTTAGTTGCTGAAAGTGAAGTTTTTACCGACTAAATTTAAATTTAGTCGTCAATAAGTAATATTTATTGACTAAAATATTTTAGTAGCGATATCTTGAACCAACGCCGACAAATTTAAATTTTAGTCACCAAAAAATGTACTTTCGGCGACTAAAATTTGTTTAGTCGCCAAAATGGTCGCCAAAGGTGCGATTTCTTGTAGTGTACCTCTACGAAAACGCTCATCAAGATCAAGCTCAGGCTCTGGCTCTGAGGATCTCACTACAACACCTTCGACGTAACTTTCTTCTCTTGTAACTCTTGTCGTCCAAATCAAGGCTGTACAACGCCGGGCTTGAGGACCGCCGTACGTGAAAAGGCAGGCGGATTTCTCCAACCCACCCTGCAGATCAGATCTAGGTCTTTTCCTTTCTTGCTCGCTATGTTCGTTTTTTGCCATTGTTGTTATTGTTATTGTTCTTCTTCTTCGGTTCCGCATCAGAGAAACAAGTCCCATTTTCATCAGCATTGTTGGCATGTGGTTGTGGGATTAGTTTAGTTGCAAAAAGATGAAATAAATTAAAAAATTAATAAAATAAAATGTAATATTTAAATTATAATTATTTTATTTTTTCTCTTATAAAAATTAAGAAAAAAAGTCAAACAAATCTATCCAAAGGCTTAAAGGTTTCCAACAGGCGTAATGCGCGTGAATGTGTATACGTATAACAGGGCTAAGCAAGAAATTCGTATAATTCGTAATCCGATCTAGTCCAGTCCAATCTAGTAGGTTTGGATTGATTTTTTGAATCCGTGGTTCAGTTCCGAATTGGAAATTTAAAAATCCGTAAGCCACTTATGGATTGGTTCCGGATTGAATCCCATGATTCCGGATTGGAACTGATCCGAACCGTATACAAATAGTCTACATACTATAGACCCTTCCATATAATATCATTTCTTATTTCGTATAAAAGCTAAACTCTTATTCCATGTTGCTGCTATGTTGCTGCTATGCTTTTGTTTGTTTGTTGCTTCTGTTCATGAAGTTTTGTTACTTTTGTTTGTCTAAAGCTAGTTTTCTTATTGCTTTTGTTTGATGCTATTTTAGTTTTAATGCAAAGGAGAACTCTGCTTTGTGTAATGTCTATCCAGTTTTATTGTTTTTGTTTGATGCTATGTTTATGTTTTTATAAAATTAAAATATTCTATATTTTTTTGTTATTTAATTATGTCAATCCGTGATCCTAAACCGATCCAATCCGTGTTTAAACGGATTAGTTTGGATTGACTCCACGATTTAAACGAATTTGATTTCAATTTTTCAAGAATCATAAATAACATATTGGTCCTGCTTTTACCCCAATCCAGACCACGTGTACGTAAATATATAGTACGGAATAATGTAGGGGTTTTTCTCAAAGATATGGGCGTGTTTTAAATCCATTATATGGGCTTACCATTGGATTAGTATGGATTTTTTTTTTTTATGAATAATAAAAACATAAAATTTTATGGAATTAACTAATCAAATCATCTAAATAGGCTTGTGATAATAAGCCCATAAATCTGAACTAACTGTCCAGTAAACGATTGACTAGATGATGATATATTCAGAGAAAAATCATTAAAAATCTCGTTGTTATGTTAGTTATATGTAAGGTTTATTAAAATTATTTATTTTTATTTTAAATATTAGTATACTAATTTTTAATTATACTAGTAAGTTCTTGTCACTTCACACCCACAATCATTCTCTTTATATATGTGGTTTTTATTTAAATATTAATATTTATTAACTAATTCACCCACAATCATTCTCTTTATATATGTGGTTTTTATTTAAATATTAATATTTATTAACTAATTAATTATTTAAGTAAATAAAATTTCATCTTTTGCTACATTATAATTTAATATTTATATAAAATTATCATAAATATTTATTTAAGTTAAATATTCTATAGCACAATAAGATCAATTTTTTTTATTGATTTATACATATATCATAACATGTTATATGTGTTCTTTTCACAGCATTTTATTATTTTTTTATTATTATACCTAAATAGTATAATGTTGGAGATGCAGATGCTGTTATGAAGTTAAGAGAGATTGCTCATAAAGTTTAAAATCCAAAACTACATTCCCCAATTTCAAGTCCACTATTACAACAATTGTTAAAATACATGATGTACAAGAGGCACTCTAGAGCTTGAAAACCCAACATGTTATACCTACATTTTGACATAGATTTAATTCCCCACATTTAAGAGGGTGGGTCACCAAACCTTTCTAGGGTCCATAAGCCCATGGACCTCCTCCCACAGCCCAACAATATCACCCAACCCAATTACACTTGGGCTACATGCAGCCACAGTCCAATATCCAGCCCTTATCTCATCCTTCAATTGCTCCTTTTCCCACCCACAGTACCCATCAAAGAACCTGAACTCCCCAACCCCAACCACATCCCTCTTCACCATCTCAGCAGCACACCCCAAACTCTCTTTGGTTCCATAGTACAAACCTTTCATCACTTCCTCAAACACCCCACTCCTCTCAACCCCACCATCACCACCACTGCCACTGCCACCGCCTTCTTTGGGACTCACCAAAAACAACCCTTCCTCTAGTGGCCCTCCAAAGAACAATGGCCTATCCGAGAAAGTCCCCGCCACATCTAGAACCGTTGATTTGGTTTCCTTGATGGACATAAGTGAAGGGCGGTTGAGTATGATTCCGGTTGGACCCACTGGACCGGTTGATAAGAGCAGGATCACCGTCTGTTCAAAAATGTGGACCCCATCCAGCTTCTCTGTGGCAATGAGCAAACAACCCTTCTCTGGTTCGTGGATGGTATGTGCCCACTTGTCACCAATTGATACAGTTGGAGGCTGATGCTGATGCTGAACCACCAGAGAGGTAGGCTCTTCTAGTTCTGGCCTTAGCGCTCGCTCGCCGGCTACTAATCTTGCTCTGAACGATCGCCAATCGGAATTATGAACAGGTTTGCTATCATCTTCTGGTGAGGATGATGACCCCAAATGGCAACCTATATATGATTCACAAAATCATTAGAAGCTTTCAAAAATTATTTACATTGAAGGAATTTAATTTCAAGTACTTACATGTAATAGGAGATGGAATGCCAACTTTCTTGGATTGAAACTGATTGTGATTTCTCTTTGGATGGTGGGCAAGCACTTTAGATTTGATTGAAGGGACAAATGTTATGGTTTTGGAAAATGAGTTTGAGGAGAGAAAACAAGCTTCCATGGTCATTGCTTCCTTTTTTTTTTCTTTTTTTTCTTACCCCACTACTTTGTGCAGATTGCGATGCTATAGGATGAGAAGATTGCGATGCTATATGTTTGCAATGAGCCCTTAAAAGGATAAGAAAATTAATGCAATTATTATATACATGGGACGAGGCTAAATGTACACCACAGGGTGAGTCCAATCCCCTCCCATCCAAATAGCCTCCTTTGTAGTATGGGCCAGTGGATATGACTTTACACGTAATAAAGGAGCAAGAGCATCAAGCTATGAAGCAGGGTATTCTAAAAACTGTGTCATATGAGTATCGGGTATTTATCAAGTGCGGATACGCATATCGGTACGACAATATGCATATTGGTATGTCAAATACATGCCGGGTATGACAAATACATGCCGGGTACGGCATGGGTACGTTGTGGGTACGGCAAAGTGATTTTTTTTTTTTTTTATAGATGCTAGAATTTATTGCAGCCTTTATTATTGTAACACCACCAAAATAATACAATAAAGACAACTCATATGCGGAATAAATATGAGAAACAACATACTTTCATATATCAGAATTCACTATTTAACAACCAGTTATATGCAATGTAAGCTTACATCTTTCCAAATCATTGTCTGGTTACACAAATTGAGTCTCGCTCATTACAACTTAAGTCATTGGTTTTACAAATAACAAGCATACACACATAAAACATAAATAAGAAGCTCTTGCTTCCCGAAAGTCCATCCAGCTTATTGTCTTGAGGAAATACCTCACCTGCACCTGAAAATTATATTCCCGTATAGGGTGAGCCAACATCCCAGTAGAGATAATCTAACACAATGTATGAAGTTTAGCAAAAGTATAAATACCACGTGCATAAACAATACCGATACTAAAACATCCACATGGCTTGCATATTCATATGCCATTAAGACCTAACCTCTTTCCATTTTCCCTCAATTCATTTTCAATTCATATATACTACCCAATTCATGAGTCAAATTCATTATCCTTCAACAACCAAAATGAGGCTACAACTCAATGGTTTTCCAACTATGCAAAAAACCCATAAACACTTCAAACCTTGCCATTTTACGGATATTTCGTCCGAAGGAACCGGCACCCATTTATATATGAAATTTCGAATCTTTCACCCAAGACACTCCGGCCAACTTGCTTTAAATGGAGTCCATCCTCTTTCTCCTCCCAAACAAATATACATATGCAACATATTTATAAACGTAATCACATATGGAGTACATCTCATTTCTTCTCCCAATAAACATACATATACAATGTATTTATAAATATAGTCATATATGGAGTACATCCCATTTCTCCTCCCAATAAACATACATATATAATGTATTTATAACATGGTTATATTCAATGACACCAACAATGAATTAGCATTAAATCGTCTAATTCTCATGCAATTTCTACAACAATCATAACTATCCTCCACCGATAGTCCAATACAATTATTTCTAAAGAGATGTTCAATCTCAAAATAAATAGTTTATTCAAAACTTCCATAGGTGAAATATTAAATATCCAATATCACCATTTATAACCACAACCTTCCAATTTCACATTTTCAATGTTAATTCCAATTATTTATGAAAAATAATGATTTAATCAAAATTATGGCAAAATCCCCCTCTTTCCAAATATCAACCTAATTCACCAAAACCAACTATTTTGGCACAACATGATCATATATTCAAACCTAATACTCATTTACCCCATATTCATCAAAACCCATCTTTTCATTCACACTCAAATCCTAGATTTTGTCCAAACCACAACCATATCTCATCATCTATACACAATAGTAAATAACTAAGCTAAAAACCATATGAGAGTGTAGAAATTTCCTACCTCAAGTGTAGAAGACAAACAAACAAGATCAAAATTCCAAAGATGACGAAATCAATCCTTACTTGGATCAACACAAAGCTCTTGAAGCCCTCTACCTTATTCTCAAAGACACTAGGGTCAAGAACTCAATGAATGTAGATGAAACCTTAAAGAGAAGGCGAATTCTTGAGAGAGAGATTGCAGATTTAGGGTTTGTGGGTGAAAAGAGATCAAAAATGAAGCCAAAACAGTGCTGCTGTGAACTGATGTACACCATGCTCGCTCAAGCGATAGAGTGCTCGCTTGAGCGACCAGACACAAAAAGGTTGCCTGGCTCGAGCAAAGGAAGTGTCGCTCAAGCGTAGAATGCAAAGCTTCAGGTCTGCCACCCAACGCAGACGCACGCTCGAGCGCAAGAAGCCTTGCTCGAGCGAAGAAACATTTACACAGGGCTCGCTCGAGCGTAAGAAGCCTCGCTCGAGCGAAGAGGCCAAAATTTGGGCAACAACCATTTGTACCAAAAGACAACCAACCTGTTCTAAACTCGCCCAACAAGTCCCAAAACTCAAATTCAAAGAATTAAAGGGAGGAAACAAGACATAGACAACAGTAAACAATCACGGAATCCGAGTCCGGAACACAATAAAGGTCGGGGTAAAATCAGGATCGCTATAATTATTCTTCTTTCAATTTTGAAAATATCAAGTAATTTATTTCCAACATCCATTGCCTATGAGTTATGATTTTGCTTTCTTTTGCACCCTAATTTAGACAATCAAAAAAGGAAAAAAAAGAATTATATAACTTTTTAGACAAGTTATTCTTTTTTTAGTTTTGATATTGAAACTTTGATTTGTATGTTGAATGTTTAGTTTTTAAATTTAAAAAAAAAAAAAATTGACATACTCCAGTTATACCTATACCCTACTTTTAAAAAAAATTGTCAACCCACACCGCACCCATGCTTCATTCAAGACACTCCAAGTGGACTTCTGTCACTGACTGTTGGCTCAAGCAAGTTTGATATGTCGGCAACTTTATCATCCATCTCAATTGGGTGGAACCTATTAGCCCTTCATGAGTGGTGTGTCATGCTCTAAGCCACTCATCTTTGAGGTCAATTCGCACCAGCGAGCACTGGTTGGTGAAGAAAATAGTTTAGAAAGTCATGACAAAGCTCCATTACCATCCATAGTTGCACACAGTAGGTAGAAGTTTCTTGATGTACAGACGCAGCATTCTGCCACCACTGCCCATGGAGTCGATCTACCAAAAACATAATTGGTGCTCTTAGAATGTCACATGATTTTGTTCTGCAACCATTCACTCAACTTACGTCTCTTCTTGGTATGACCATTGGCATTGATCTGTCGGTAGCAAGGTTTTAAAAAATGGCCATAACCTTGCGTCTCTTCTTGGTATGACCATTGGCATTGATCTGTTGGTAGCAAGGTTTTAAAAAACGGTCATAACCGTTATGTAATGGTTGTGATAATCACAGCCAACAGTTATGACTACTATAACAGTGTGACGAACATTTACATGTGTAATAGCCATTTTGATGTTACGTAACCGCCATAACAATACCGTAACGGCTCATTAGACACCGTTACACCCTTTTACAATATTCTAAATAATTTCTTTTTTTCCAAAAACAAAAAAAACAAAAGCTTACAAAAAAAAGAACAAATACTCAAGTGATCTAAACCCAAAGAAAAAATCTTATATGATTCTTTTTTTTTTAATTATGGTACAATTTTTATTTTATAATCCTTTCATTTAATGATTGTGAATATTTTTTATTCAATTAATTCAAGTATTGATAAAAAATAATTTGTAGACATTTAAAATCAATTATTCTTAAAATCATTAATTGTTGAAATAAAATGTAAAAAATTTCTTTTATAATATTTTGAAAATATGAAATATATTAGATCATGCTTAAAAATTAACAAAAAATGATCAAAATTTATTTTAAACCCCAATAAATGTGATTCTGAAAAGAAAAAAAAATATATGCATATTGGTGAATTTTCTTTAAATTGTGAGAAAAATTTAAAAAAATCACAATTTCAATTACTGCAACAGTTACACTACGATCTTTACACCCCGCAACTACTACTGCATCACGGCAACCGTTACGGCAACCATAACTGCTTTTCAAAACCTTAGTTGGTAGTGATGGACCCAACTGGTGTTGCATTTGATGAGCAATAGAGCAAGACCAGATGACGCTCTAATAACGCACCAAACTGCATGAAGAGACTGGTTTAATGCATTGCTAAAGGTACAAAATTCAAATTGTCATTAAAATGTGAAAACAAGCATAATCCAGATACATTAGTCACCAGCAAGTCTCCCAAGGAAGTCTTACTAATCCAAAAGAACTGATCTAAGATTCTGTACTGGCTTTGCCAAATGATAATTTCTGGAAATTCAAAGAGGGCTTTCTCCCAACATGGCATACTGCGAGAAGAGGGTCAACCCATCCAGAGCATTTGCAATAGATTGAGGTCCTGCTAAAAACCAAATGCAACCCACAAACTTATCAGTATGCAACAAAAATATGCATTGTCCGCTACATTCCCCAACAAATTTCTGCTCATACACCATTCAATAGTATACTCTCAGTGTATAATTAAATTTCACATAGGAGGATCCAGAACTTACCAAAGTATGATTTCTGTCATATTTTCTGCAGAGGCTATAAATATTTAAATAAACTAGCATGATTTCAGACAATGAAATCTGCTGTGCAAGATTATAGATCTTTAAAAAATTTCTTCCAAATAGCTGGAAGTGGCAATTCATATATCACAGAGACGAGAGGCTACAAAATTCAAGAAAGCCTCTCAAACAATTACTTGTTAACTGAAGGAGAAATAACAATCCAGAACAACATATTGCAGGATTAATTACAACTTGTATTCTCTAATAATCTGCCCAGGATTAATTACAACTTATAAACTGAAGGCACTTGACATCTGCCCAGAAATTGCTAAAAGTGTATATTAGATGAACAATGAATATAAGATGCCCTTTTTTGGTTTATCAGAAAAAGTTAACTTTATGTCTGCACAAAGAGACCTGAGCAAAAGCAGCTGCAAGAACTTTCTCCGCTATTGCGCTATGTTCTCCAGTATAGGACCAATTCAAGAGCTATTCCACTTCAACTGAGAGAGAGCTCACAATATGAGTGTCATTATAGTAGTTCATCCAACCAAATCATTATCTACGGTAAAATTTAGCTACATGCCTTTGGTACATAACAAACTGCCCATAATAGCTGTCATGAAAGTAAGAAATTTAGCTTTCATGTGTTGGTCTTCAAAATCAAAGAATTATGGAAGTAACAAATTATTGAAATCAACTTCCAAACTGCCTATAATAGCTGTCAACAAAGCAAAGCAATACCACGATAAATTATCAAACAAAAACCCCAATGGATTTTAATTGCCTTGAAAAATTATACTTTCATTTGGGTTTAAAGTTCTATGTATGGTGGAGAGGATCACCACTTATATAATTTTGAACAAACTTGCATGTGCTCAAATCATTAGAATGTTATTATTACAACCAAAAATTGGAAGTCATACCTTACCTTTTGAAGATTTATGGATAGGCACAGAAAGATATTTGAATTATTTTCTAAGGGATGAGCAACAAAAGGAAACATTAAAATGCTTTAATAAGAATGCAAATCAAATACTTACCACAATGTTTGGATGCGAAAGGTTCTTAAGAAGTTTTACTTCTTCCTCAAGCTCTCTAATGTGAACCTATTAAGCAAATTTACAGTAATTATTCAGATATATATGACCACCAACACAATGCTTCAAAAATGTAAATAAAGCATTTAAATTGGAAGTGATTTTCTGTTTTGAAGCACTCTTACTACAATTGAAAGCTTCTTAGATAAATACCAATATCAAAAACAATTGAAAAAACTTACACAAAAAATAAATAAATATATCCAAAAGAATTACCAAAATATATGTTTTCGAAATGAAAGAGCACTTCTCAAAATAATATATAAATAAAAAGCAAAAGAACACTACCCCAAAACAAAACCCACTGCTCACATCCTCTATGCACCACAACTCATCATCATTCTACAAATCACCACTGAATAATGTGCCAAAAAAAGCTTAAGTAAATACAAAAGTATTCAATAAATACCAAAAATATTTTGTCTAATTTGAAACTATGAGTAAAAATTTGACCATCTAATTTACTTTCAGCTTAATGTTAACCGTCAGGTTAACATTTCACATTAACCCATTTAATGTTAACAATCCTCATCCCATTTGACTAACCTGGAAAGAAAAAAAGAAAAAAGGGTGTTAACATTGAAATATGTTGGTGATGGTGGGAATGGTGGGGATGATGAGGGTGAGAGCTATCCATAATTTTAGACGTTGCTGCAAGTTAGTAGGGCTCAAACATATAATTTTTATGAAAGACCACAATACATATTAATCCAAGTGATACATAAGTTAATTGACCAATTGAAACCAAATGAAGCAAACAACTTTTAAATATCCAATTGAAACAAAATATAACTAAAAAAAGAAAAAACTAAAAATGAATTTCAATATTTTAAATATCCAATCACTATACACAAACCCAATCAAATACAACACATAATAAAAAATCAAAAATACAATATACATTACACTATTCCTTATAATGAAATCTAATAAAAAATCAAAAATACAATATACATTACATTATTTCTTATAATGAAATCTAATGAATTACAATCATAATGATGAAAATCAACTACAACAATTTTTCACTTGTTTGATCAAACAATTTCTGCTCCGGTTTTTTTTTTTTTTTCTTTCTAAAGCCATAATACAATCATGTTCACAAAAATGGACTGTTAATAGAATTTCAAGATTTTAAATATCCAATCACTATACACAAACCCAATCAAATACAACACATACTAAAAATCAAAAACACAATATACGTTACACTATTTCTTGTAATGAAATCTAATGAATTACAATCATAATAATGAAATCAACTACAACAATTTTTCACTTGTTTGATCAAACAATTTCTGCTCTTTTTTTTATTTTTTTATTTTTTAAAAACCATAATACAATCATGTTCACCAAAAAGGACAATTAACAGAATTTTCGGATTTTAAATATCGAATCACTATACACAAACCCAATCAAATACAACACATAATCAAAAATCAAAACACAATATACATTACACTATTTCTTATAATGAAATCTAATGAATTACAATCATAATGATGAAAATCAAATACAACAATTTTTCACTTGTTTGATCAAACAATTTCTGCCTGTTTGATTCTTCTTTTTTCTTTTTTTTTTTAAACCATAATACAATCATGTTCACAAAAAAGGACTGTTAACAGATTGGTAAGATTGGTTTGGGGGATGCTATGAAGTACGGATACTTCAAAAAGGAAGACTGTAGAAATTTAATGTATAAAGAGAAATGATTGTATTATTGATTGATGTATATTGATATATTGTTCTATTCATTACAATGATTCATGATTCCTATATATAGAAGAGGGTGCGGATACGTATTGGATACTTCTTAAAGTATCGGATACTTCTTAATTAATTTTTTATTAATTTTGAAGTATCAGATACTCAAAGTTACATGTACTTATAATATTTTGATAAAATTCAATGTATAAAGAGAATTGTATTATTGATTGATGTGTTGTTGATTGATATATATTACAAATGGTGAGTGGCTCATTATATAGGAGAGGGTGAGTGTAGTAGGAGAGGAGTAGGTGAGGAGAAGGTGGTGGTAGGTGATGGTAAATTGGTGGTAGGTGATGGTAAATTCTAACAGCCCCCCGCAAACTCAAGGAGGATAGAAACTAACCAACTTGAGTTTGAAGAGAGGAACAAAACAAGAAAATACATAAAAATAAAAAAGGATAGGAGACACTGTATGGTCGTGTCAGACCATTGGTGAAGACACTGAAAGTATTGTATGTATGTCCATATAAATTGTATGTATGCTAGGCACATCTATCTATCTAGCTATATATTATATAAGTAAAAGCGAGTTGTCGTGAGGAGTTTTGTGAGAACTCCAAAATTTTATTATAAATTTGAGATTTTATCAAATTAAAAAATAAATTTAAATAGTGTTAGAATTACAATTATATCCTAATCTTAACATTATTTACACCGTGCCTTCAAGCATGGGCGTAGCTAGTATATTTATATAATAGTAGTGATCAATATTATTATTTTGATAAAATATTAATTTTTTTAATATATATATAATCACATAATTAAAATCTTAATGATAATTTTAATCTCATAGACAAATATAAATTTGTACATTACCCATAATAATAGTAACACCAAATCTTCGGAGGTTAGAAGCCAAACTGATTGACGAGAAAATCATTATTGACTTTGGGGGGGGTTTGAAAAGTGGATTTTTTTTGTAGGTTTTTTTAGTTGTAGAATATTATTGGAGAAAATTTTTTTTGTGTTTGGAAAGATAGTTGAATTTTTTTGTGATTGGATGTAATGTTTGTAGGTGAAATGATTATAGAATTTGATGTGATATTTTGTTTGAATTTATTTTTTTAAAATTTTGTAAAATATTTTTTTGTTTTTAAATGAAAAAAAAAAATAAATAAATAAAATAAAGAAAGAAATAAAATAAAATAAAAAAAGAAAGTGGAATTGGAGTCGTAGACAAAGGAGGAGAATACCCATGTAGTGGGAGAGAGAATGAGTGGGGTGAAATATTTAAAAAAAAAAAATAAGTGGTTGGGTGGAAAGTAGAAAAGGAGAATAGGAAAAGAAAAAGAAACGAAAAGTGGGAGACAAAAGTGGTGGTGTGGCCTTGAGTAGAGAGAGAGAGAGTGACAGTGTGTGGTGTGCAGATCTTGTGGAATAAATTAAGAAAAAGGATGGATATGATTAAAGGGAGAGAGAAAAATGCTCGGTGAGTGTATTGCAAAGAGAGAGACCCAGTCAAAGGATTCAATGCCCGAAATCTTGTTTGGCTCGCTGCTTGGCACACCATAACTACAACTTCCCAACCCTTTTTATAATCGAAACAACACGGCAATCTTCGGCAAACAAGAATGCAAACAAAACCCAACAAGAATTCAATCCTGATAACAAACAAAGATCGATGGTGGGTCAGAAATGAGAAGAAAATTATAAAGAAAGTTCAGCTAATCCAGCGGACGTAGCAGGGAATGACAACAAACAAATTGGATCCCATGGAAGGTTATGGATATGGATCGAAAGAGAGGATATTAAAGGGTTTTGTGGGTTTGTTTGAAGGGATTACAGGATCACGCGACAGTACAAGTTCAAGGAGATAACTGTCCGGCAAACATCAACAGAGAGACAATACCACCGCATGCTGTTCTTTCAGTAATCTGATCGCCACGACTGTTAACCTTTTCCACAACCGATTCAAAGTTCAGTGAGAGCCGATTCGTGAGGAAGAAAACCCAAATTCCAAATAGCTTATCCTCAAAAACTTCAGATCGAATTCACAACAATACCCAAAAGGCGATTGCAGATATGAAGATAGAGAGAGAGAGAGAGAGAGAGTTGGGTTGAGAAAGAGAGCAAATCCACAGATGTCTCACAAGAATGACCCACAGAGGCCACCATTTCAGTGATCCCAGTTCGTGAATCTCGGCCAAGTGGAAGCGCGTGTTGTTTGAGGAAGAGTTTGAGCGCGGTTGCGATGTTGGGTCGTGAAAGATCGATGAGGACATTGGTAGTGAGGACAGAGAAGAGCATGAGGACATTTACAGCTGAAGAACAGAGAGTTGCTCTTTTGAATCTGGCTGTTCCATCGCCTATCTTCAGTGAAACCGATACCATCTCTGCAAGCTCCCGAGAAGGTATGTGTAGAGGTCCGGCGGGCGGCCAAGGCAAGGCTGCCGCCCGCCGGTGAAGCAGAATTACTAGCTTCTTAACTTTGCTCTGATACCATGAAAAAATTCAATGTATAAAGAGAATTGTATTATTGATTGATGTGTTGTTAATTGATCTGTCTATTACAAATGGTTCCTTATATAGATGTAGGGAGGGTGAGTGTAGTAGGTGAGGAGTAGGTGAGAAGTAGGTGGTGGTAGGTGATGGTAAATTGGTGGTAGGTGATGGTAAATTCTAACAGTTTAGTTCTTTGATAAGAGGAATATAGTGAGAGTTAAAGTAATAGAATTTGTCAAATTTATGTATCCTTATTGTCTCTCACTTCTCTCTCGCTTTCTCACTCTTTCACGTTTCTTTTCTCTGCTCTCATTCTTTTTTTGGTGTTGGCATGTAAGAATGATGTTTAATTTGCATTTACTTTTGCTTTTAGTTTTGGATGTTTTATGAATGTTTGAAGATTTTTAGGTTAATAGGAATTCCTCCCTTTATTTATTAATTTACTTTTTAAGTTTTACTTTCATGCATATTACATTATTAAAATTATAAAAAAAAAAAATTTACGAACGTATTCCCGCCGTACCGGTATCATACTTTTTCAAATTTTGATGTATTGCCATATCCATATCCCCATATCGCCATTTACTTATAATATTTTGTTTAATTCTTTGATAAGAGGAATATAGTGAGAGTTAAAGTAATAGAATTTGTCAAATTTATGTATCCTTATTGTCTCTCTCACTTCTCTCTCGCTTTCTCACTCTTTCACGTTTCTTCTCTCTGCTCTCATTCTTTTTTTGGTGTTGGCATATAAGGATGATGTTTAATTTGCATTTACTTTTGCTTTTAGTTTTGGATGTTTTATGAATGTTTGAAGATTTTTAGGTTAATAGGAATCCCTCTCTTTATTTATTAATTTACTTTTTAAGTTTTACTTTCATGCATATTACATTATTAAAATTATAAAAAAAAAAATTTTTACGAACGTATTCCCGCCGTACCGGTATCATACTTTTTCAAATTTTGATGTATTGCCATATCCATATCCCCATATCGCCATATCTGTATCCATCCTTATCATTGATGACTTAAAAAAGTATATTTGCTGAAATTTTTAATTAAGAATAGTTTTTTGGCTTTAGCTAAGGTCCTGTGATATTCGCTGATGAAGGGGAACAAGTTAAAGCTATTGACCTTGAAGGCTCTTAGTTTTATAGGAATCTTTCTTCTTTATCAAGTTGTCTTTTGTTTTAGGTTTTATTTTTATGCATACTACATTACTAAAAATTGTAAAAATAATATTTTTTACGAACGTATCCCCGCCGTACCCATATCCTAGTTTTTCAAATTTTGCCGTATCGCCGTATCCGTATCATATCCGTATCCGATATCTGTATCTGTGCTTTCTAGGGGGGATGGAAAAATAAATAAATAAAACAAAACAAAACAACCTAAGATGTGAATCGCCATTGTCATATGAATGGCTTACCTGTTCTAGAATAAGAGGAGAGAGAAGCGGGGCCAATCCACCTGATTGTGCCAAAATCACACCACACCCATCATACTACAGTTAAATCAAAAAAAAGGAAAAATAAAATAAAATAAACATGAGACCAAAATAAGATCAAAATAAAGAAATTTTCCCCCAAAATCGCTCCTTCACACACCAACAATGGTGATTAGACTTGAAGAGGGAGGGGCCGCAGTGGTGGTGAGACGAAGGGGGCTCCTAATGGCTGAGGTAGTGGCTGGCTGCTCGGTTGAGAATGAGGTTCAAAATTTGAAACCTCAGGAATTGAGAGAGAGAAGCTTGGGTAGGAAAAGTGAGAGGCTCTATAAGAGTGAAGAGAGTGAAGGCAAAAGTCCTCTATATAGATAGATATATAGAATAATCTCAGCCCTCCAAAACCAAACAATCTTAGCCATCCACCTAGACAAAAGTCCCATCAAGTTTGAAAAACCCCTTGGCATAGTATAATCCCATACATACTAAGATGCCCCGTTTTGGTTTATCAGAAAAAGTTAACTTTATGTCTGCACAAAGAGACCTGAGCAAAAGCAGCTGCAAGAAGTTTCTCTACTAATGCGCTATGTTCTCCGGTATGGGACCAATCGAAGAGCTATTCCACTTCAACTGAGAGAGAGCTCACAATATGAGTGTCATTTTAGTAGTTCATCCAACCAAATCATTATCTACGGTAAAATTTAGCTACATGCCTTTGGTACATAACCAAGTTGCTTGAGATGCAGACCTAATCCATCAATCATCTGATATATACCATCTGATTTTGGGTGTGATCTATCCAGTACTGTAAATTCATGAACATCGTCATCCAATTCAATTGAACTAGCCCCTGATGGCTTTTGAGTGCCAGTGTTCTTCATCTGCAGCCTTACACTAGCAACACTGTCCCAATCTCCTGCTGGCGTAGATATTTGACAACATGGAAAAATTTCCTGCATCTGTTGGTTCCAGTTTAACTAACTGATCAAGCACCTCCTTGGCATATCCCACAGCATTATGCATTCGGCATGCCCCTAAAAGAGTTCCCCAAATAATGGCATTTGGTTCCATTGGCATGCTGCGGACAAGCTTAAAAGCTTCCTTGAGACGTCCACCGCGACCTAAAAGGTCAATCATGCAACCATAATGCTCAATTTCGGGAACTACTCCATAATCTCTCTCCATTGCATAAAAGTATTGAATGCCCTCCTCAACAAATCCTGCATGCGTACAAGCACATAGAACACCAACAAAGGTCACTTTATCAGGCGGAAATCCTTCTTGTGTCATTCTAGAGAAAAAGTTAAGTGCTTTCTCCCCATGTCCATGCATTGCCAACCCTTGAATCATGGCATTCCAAGACACCAAATCTCTTTTTGCCATCCCATTAAAAATACTTAATGCCCTGTGCACACTGTCACATTTTGCATACATATCTACCAAAGCATTGGACACATGAGTACTACACTTATATCTAATCCTCTCAATCGATGCATGAACTCTCTTCCCCAATCCAAGCAAGCCAGACTCCGCACAAGCATCTAAAATGCTAATAATAGTCCCATCATCAGGCTTCAATCGTGCCGCCTCCATTTCATCAAACAAGCTAATCGCATCCTTTGCCATCCCCTTTTCAGCATACCCAGATATTATTATAGTCCAGGTAACTAAATTCTTGGCCGGCATCTTATCAAACAACATCCTCGCCATCTCCATATCCCCGGCTTTGCAATAACCAGAAATCATTGTCGACCAAGACACAACATTCCTCTCGGGCATCTTTTGAAACAAATCAAAACCCGTGTCCATCTCTCCTGCCTTTGAATACCCATCTAATATCGTATTCCAACTCACAGTATCTCTCTCAGGCATTTCATCGAACAATCGACAAGCTTCACTCAACTCACCAGCCTTCACCAACCCACCAATCATTGAATTCCAAGAAACAATATCTCGTTCCTCCATCACTGTAAACAACTTCCTTGCCTCATAAACACCAATCCAACCACACTTACAATAGCAATCAATCAACGAATTGGGAACAAATATATCTGAACAAAACCCAAATTTCTCAATGTGGGTGTGAATCATTTGAACTAATCTCAACAAAGCTTGGCCAGAACAAGCCTTCAAAAGAAATGGGTACGTGAAATTATCGGGGCACAAGCCGCAATATTGCATGTCGAAGAAAGCAGCGAAGGCTTGAGAGGGCTGAGAATTGTGAATGTGAGCTCTGATCAAAGTATTGTACAAATGAACATTGGGTTCTTGAACTTGGTTGAAAACGTTAACTGCTAACACCATTTGGCGGCAAAGTGAGAACGCAGAGATGAGTTTGGGGGCAACGAAAAGGTCTCTGTGAAGATTGGCTTTGTATACGAGTGCATGAACTTGCTTCAAGTGGTTTAGGTCTATGCATTTGTGAATATTTGATAGCTTTTGTTCAAAAAGTCTTCGTATGGAGACCCATGTTGGAGCTCGAATTGGTACAGACATCTGCATCTCAAAGAAAGAAGAAAATACACTTCACATTACAATATTGCTTTTAGACCAGCATTGGTGAGCAATTTTTTACTTTTTTATTTTGGCCTCATTTGGAAAGTTAGCTATTTTAGTAAGTTATTTTAATAGGTTAAATTTTTGTGTTTGAGAATATGATTGAATTTTTTTATAGTTTAATGTGATGTTTATGAAAGAAAATGTGAAATAACTAGGGCATGCTCATGACTGAAGGCACGGTGTAAATAATGTTGGTATCACATACTTTACAAAAATTAATTAAAATAAATAAATTCAAAATGATAATAATTTCACTACTACAGAAATCAATTGTAATAAATTAATTTAAAACGACAACAATTTCATTGCAATATAAAACTTCCCACATAAGTTGAAATAGCAAATTACAGTTTTGGCAAACTTCATAATTAAAGTTTAAATAGCAAATTTATAATATAAAAATTTTGTGTACAACATAAGCAAAGTTATTCATGCCAAAATAACACATATATAGTGAGTTAGAATGGGACAACCTTCAAGAAATAGTAAGTTGTAACACATGTACAGTGGGTTGTAACTGAGTAACCTTTTCACTTTATCAAATTTCAAACCTTCAAGAAATGGTGAATGAACATTTTGGTACAAAAGAGTAATCATCCTAACTTTTAAAAAAAATAAAATAAAATAAAATAAAAGATTAATCATCCAGTACAGAATGAAAGAGCCAACCATCAACACACATAAAAAAACAACACAATCCCAACATTTCTAAGGTGTATTAGTCACCTACAACAAAATCACTCCAATGCTTGAATTCACTTTAAAAAATCAATTAAAAGAAATCATAACTGGAAAAATCACATCAAAATACCATTGAGAACAGAGAACCCAATAACTACGAATTAACATGAATTGAACATTAAAAAATATTTCAATATAACCCTTCTTTCTTTTCTTTTCTTTTCTTGATACATATGATCAAGCACCTTTCAATTTAGTTCCCAAGTCTCTTGATCAGTATATATCATGACTTGTGAGTTTACATGTTGCTGCTTAATGAATATGAATATGAATTGCATTGGGAAAAAAAAAATGAATATGAATTGCTAAGTATAACTCTTCTTTCTTTACTTTTTTCAATTCAGCAAGAAGAATTTAACAACTAAGAATAAAAAATTACATCTAATTTGGAATCTCATTATAGGCAGGCTCATGACAAAAAGCTTTGCCCAATTAATCACTATACAACAATTTACTAAAAATTCTCACTATCATTGTTTTTCTTTAATATACTCATCATAGCAAAAGAATGCGTAATGAGAAACCCAATAAAAAAAATCTAAATACAAAGATGTTACCTTCTACAATATCATGGACAATTGCCACGGGGGGGGGGGGGGGGGGAATTAGAAGTCAAAAGTCAAAATATATCACTGTAATCGAGTGCCAAGAATTCACAAAAAACAAAACAATTACATGAGATCGAACAATTTATGTTGGTGATGAGAAGAGATCAAACAATTTATGCGTAATAAATTTTTATATTACAATTTATTAGGTAGTGCCTAATGAAAAGATTAGAAGGCTTTTTTAAATTCAACAATTAGAAGACTTAACCATAAAGTGAAAATTACCACCACCTCAGTAAGATAAAAAATTGTAATGATTGAAGAGATCGTACTTGATTGAAGAGATCGTACTCGAGTGCTCAAAGTTGTAAACTAAAACATTTCCTACAAAAACCATGCACGTTGTGTAAAAAAAACTTTAACTTAAAGTAAATAAAAACTTGGAAAATAAAAATCAAACTAACATTAAACAATCAAGGGTGAATAAAGTCAAATTTTCCAAATGAAAACAACTCTTTCATTATCATATTAACAATTAACTAAAGGATCAAGAGATTTGTTTATCCTTCTGCTTCTAAACACACCAGTCCATTAATTGATTAAATACATAAATTGAAAACCATTACCTAAAATCACAAACATAAACATTAAGAGAGACATTATAGTTTGTGCGAGAATCAAATGGTAAGCAGACATTACATCAAAATCATCACCCACCCTCATCCCATCAAACCACCAATCAGATGGTTACAGTTGAGAATCAAATAGAAAACTTCCAAGAAAGAAAAGGAAAGAAGCAAATTAATACGTACGCAATTCCCCTAATATATTCTCTGCCACTAGGAATCCTTAAACCAGTTAATTCATCAAATGTAAAATTAACCATAAGGATAGATATGTGATTTTTGTAAATTATAATCCATAACTACACAACTTAGTGAGGAATAAGCCTGCAAGATTGGACAAAACTTAGTCAAGCCAAAAAATTGTTTATGCCACTATACCCATTGGCAATATAAACTTAGGTTTTTGCTTAATGTTGCCCCCAAGCCAAAATATTGGTTCTGCAACTAAACCCATTGGCAATATAATTTAATTATGAGGCTAGGCTTGATTGTTCTAATGCTATGTCCTACGAAGACTTATATATTGAAACCATAAAAGAAATATAAAATTAGAATAAATAGCACCAAGAACAAAGAGACTATAATTATATTTAGGGACCAAGTTTAAAACATTAACCAGCTTTTAGGAAGAGTTGTCTCAATTTACGGGTGATGCTACATTTCCTCTTAGCAAAGGAACAATAAGGAGGATGTGCTCCTAGTAGCACTTGATCTACCTACTTGGCATCTATTGGGTTACTAAGTGGAGTTAATGATCTTTGACAAAATCACAAAATCCAAAAATCAACTCAACAAAAGCAACTGACTTCAAACAAGTGACGCCATCCTATTGTCAAGCTGCCAATTGGCCACGTAAATATTATTTAGTACAACTCTCTACATGAGAACCCCAAAATCATAAAGAAATAACAAATATCACATGAAATAGAATGAACAAATTAGATATTAAAATCCCTCATTTATGTAGGTAAATTAGATCGATAGTGCATATGGTTGGGAAAAAAAGTAAAAAAAGAAATTACCATAGAACTTATCCTAGCTTAGCGTCATCGGTTGATCTCACCCCATTTGCCTGCAAGCGTTGTAATGGTGTATTAGTAGTGGACAATACACACTATCACACAATGGTTTGTCTTTTTAATAGGCAGTGACATTATCAAATGAGAAAAAAATAACAACGAAAATGAGTAAGCTTAACAATGTATCAATCAGAAAGCCGATCACCATGGACCCATTACCGCCATGGGTCTTCTCAATTATAGCAACTAATGCTTACCCTTTAGCAAAACTAACTAAAATCTGAGTGAGTTTCAAATTCAATATTGAAGATCTCATCTTCTTAACATTGTCCAAGATTTAGGGGAAAAAAAAAAGAAGAAGATATCTTGTAATTACATGAAGAAAAGAATATCTTATAATCCCATACATACTAAGTATAAACTAAATATTTAAAGTGAAATTTTTTTTTGAAGGGAAGGGCCAAAAAAAACTTGAATGTGGTTTTTTTTTTTTTTTGAAATTTGGAGTTTTTTTTTTTTTAATAATTTGGAGGGTGGTTATTTTACGATGAAATGTGATTCTTTTACGATGAAATCATGAAACTATCATATTTATACCCAAAAGACAATATAAGTTGATTTTACTATTACCCAATACTATCAATTTAATTGAATTGAATCAATCTGACAAAAACATGAGTTGTTGCACATTGTTTTCCTATGCATTTTGTTAGTTTCTTTAGACCAAGAATCAAACCATCTAATTCAAGCAATCAATCAAAACCACACATAATAATATAAAATTCTAAACCTCGCACTGTTTTACGTCAATATCAATAACCTGCCAATCAATAATACCAAGAACAAAAAGAGATTAAATTCAACATTAAACATAGTTAAATCATTACACCATGAAAAAAAATAGAATTTGAAGGTAGACTAACAAATAGAAGGCTTCTCTGTTAAACCAACCGATAATGATGAAATTATAAACAACCCATTAGAGGATTCTATGTAAATAAGAAGACTTTTGTTAATGAGATTAATCAAAGATTGAACAGGATGATACTATAAATCCAAATAATTAAATTATGAAATTCAAAACCAATTAACTGGAACAAAAAAAATCAAATAACAATATCAATAACTCAATAAAATTTAAAACCATGAATTTGAAATATTAGTAAATAAAAACTCCGACTCAACTTCTATAAGTCTAAAACAAATTAACTCATGAATTTACCTTTTATATCAATAACTGTTAGAATTTACCATAAACCTACCACCACTACCACCTCACCTACTCCACTAAACCTAACCCACTACATCACTACCACCTCCACTTCACCTACTCTCCACCTACTCCCAAACACACTCCTATATAATAGGAATCCTTGTAATTCTAATATACACAACACAATACACAACACAAAAACATCATGCCAATTAAACAATATCAATAACTCAATAAACCAAAATTTTATAGATATTGAATTTCCATTTGGTTTATTGAATTTACCTTCTTGCTTACATTTGTACCAATTAAACAAAACCAAAATTTTAACTGAGATAGGGGGTGGGAGTGAGTGGAAATCATTCCATTATGAATCTTTAGCCTAAAACAAAATCCAAACACATGTGGGCTCAACTGGTGGTGTATTTTTTTATTTTATTTTATTTTTTTTTTATCAGCAAAAGAAAAACTTTATTGATGACGACAACATACATTCATATGAGATTACATCAATAAATGAGGGAAGTGCACAAAGTTCAATCATGAGCTAGCACAACAATAAAGGTTGGAGAGGAACCAACACAAGCCAAAGGAAGAGAAAAGAAGAAAAGAGAGGTGCAGACCCACACTACCGCTGCAACATGTTGCTGCTGCCACAATGCTACACAGCAACAAAGCACAATGCACAATACTGCTGCTGCCACAACACACTTGCTTCAGGACATCAGTAAATCAACAATTCTGTTAAGGCTCTCTTAACAGACCGAGAAGGCACCATCTCAACTGGCGGTGTATGATAAGATTACAAATGTACATGAATTATTGAGGGGGGGAAACAAAGGTGAGAAAGGTTCAAATGAAAATCTCTTTGTACAATAATGCAATAACATACTAAAAACTCCAAAATCCCCATATTAATATACCAATACAAGCATGAAATAACAACCCATTCACATGAAAAATAGATCTAAAAATCTAAGTTTGGGTGCTCGCCACGAAAAAGTTATTGAACCCATTAAATATAAATGTTGAGAGAGAGAGAGAGAGAGAGTGAGAGAATCACCACAAATCAACATTGTAGAGCATGTGTTGGTCATTAAAATCAAAGAATCATGGAAGTAAGAAATTATTGAAATCAACTTCCAAACTGCCCATAATAGCTGTCAACAAACCAAAGCAATACCACGACAAATTATCAAACAAAAACCCCAATGGATTTTAATTGCCTCGAAAAATTATACTTTCATTTGGGTTTAAAGTTCTATGTATGGTGGAGAGGATCACCACTTATATAATTTTGAACAAACTTGCATGTGCTCAAATCATTAGAATGTTATTATTATAACCAGAAATTGGAAGTCATACCTTACCTTTTGAAGATTTATGGATAGGCACAGAAAGATATTTGAATTGTTTTCTACGGGATGAGCAACAAAAGGAAACATTAAAATGCTTTAGCAAGAATGCAAATCAAATATTTACCATAATGTTTGGATGTGAAAGGTTCTTAAGAAGTTTCACTTCTTCCTCAAGCTCTCTAATGTAAACCTATTAAGCAAATTTAAAGTAATGATTCAGATATATAGAACCACAAACACAATGATTCATAAATGTAAATAAAGCATTTAAATTGGAAGTAATTTTCGGTTTTGAAGCACTCTTACTGCAATTGAAAGCTTCTTAGATAAATACCAATATCAAAAACAATTGAAAAAACTAACACAAAAAATAAATAAATATATCCAAAAGAATCACCAGAATATATCTTTTAGAAATGAAAGAGCACTTCTCAAAATAATAAATAAATAAAAAGTATAAGAACATTACCCCAAAACAAAACCCACTGCTCACATCCTCTATGCACCACAACTCATCATCATTCTGCAAATCACCACTGAATAATGTGTCAAAGAAAGCTTAAGTAAATACAAAAGTATTCAATAAATACCAAAAATATTTTGTCTAATTTGAAACTATGAGTAAAAATTTGACCATCTATTTTACTTTCAACTTAATGTTAACCGTCAAGTTAACATTTCACATTAACCCATTTAATGTCAACAATCCTCAACCAATTTGACTAAAAAAAAAGGGTGTTAACATTGAAATAGTGTAATGATAGAGAGTGAGAGCTATGTTGGCTATGTTGGTGATGGTGGGGATGATGAGAGTGAGAGCTATCCATAATTTTAGACGTCGCTGCAAGTTAGTAGTGCTCAAACATATAATTTTTATGAAAGACCAAAATACTTATTAATCCGAGTAATACATAAGTTAATTGACCAATTGAAACCAAATGAAGCAAGCAACTTTTAAATATCCAATTGAAACAAAATATAACTAAAAAAACGAAAAAACTAAAAATGAATTTTAGTATTTTACATATCCAATCACTATACACAAACACAATCAAATTCAACACATAATAAAAAATCAAAAACACAATATACATTACACTATTTCTTAAAATGAAATCTAATGAATTACAATCATAATGATGAAAATCAACTACAACAACTTTTCACTTGTTTGATAAAACAATTTCTGCTCCGGTTTTTTTTTATTAAAAAAAAAAAAAAAACCATAATACAATCATGTTCACAAAAAAGGACTGTTGACAGAATTTTGGGATTTTAAATATCCAATCACTATACACAAACCCAATCAAATACAACACATAATAAAAATCAAAAACACAATATATATTACACTATTTCTTATAATAAAATCTAATGAATTACAATCATAATGATGAAAATCAACTACAACAATTTTTCACTTGTTTGATCAAACAATTTATGCTCTTTTCTTTTCTTTTCTTTTTTAACCATAATACAATCATGTTCACAAAAAAGGACTGTTAACAGAATTTCAGAATTTTTAAATATCCAATCCCTATACAAAAACCCAATCAAATACAACACATAATCAAAAATAAAAAATACAATATACATTACACCATTTCTTATAATGAAATCTAATGAATTACAATCATAATGATGAAAATCAACTACAACAATTTTTCACTTGATTGATCAAACAATTTTTGCTCTTTTTTTTTTTTCTTTTATAACCATAATACAATCATGTTCACAAAAAAGGACTGCTAACAGAATTTCAGGATTTTTAAATATCCAATCACTATACACAAACCCAATCAAATACAACACATAATCAAAAATCAAAAACACAATAAACATTACACTATTTCTTACAATGAAATCTAATGAATTACAATCATAATGATGAAAATCAACTACAACAATTTTTCACTTGTTTGATCAAACAATTTCTGCTCCGGTTTTTTTTTTTTTTTTTCTTTCTAAAGCCATAATACAATCATGTTCACAAACAAGGACTGTTAACAGAATTTCAGGATTTTAAATATCCAATCATTATACACAAACCCAATCAAATACAACACATAATAAAAATCAAAAACACAATATACATTATTACACTATTTCTTATAATGAAATCTAATGAATTAAAATCATAATAATGAAAATCAACTACAACAATTTTTCACTTGTTTGATCAAACAATTTCTGCTCTGGTTGGTTTTTTTTTTTTTTTTTTAAATCATAATACAATCATGTTCACAAAAAAGGACTGTTAACAGATTGGTAAGATTGGTTTGGGGGATGGAAAATAAATAAATAAAACGAAACAAAACAAAACAACCTAAGATGTGAATCATCCATTGTCATATGAATGGCTTACCTGTTATATAATAAGAGGAGAGAGAAGAGGGGCCAATCCACCTGATTGTGCCAAAATCACACCACACCCATCATACTGCAGTTAAATCAGAAAAAAGGAAAAAATAAAATAAAATAAACATGAGACCAAAATAAAGAAATTTCCCCCCAAAATCGCTCCTCCACACAACAACAATGGTGATTAGACTTGAAGAGGGAGGGGCTGCAGTGGTGGTGAGACGAAGGGGGCTCCTAATGGCTGAGGTAGTGGCTGCTCGGTTGAGAATGAGGTTGAAACCTCTGGAATTGAGAGAGGGGCTTGGGTGGAAAAAGTGAGAGGCTCTGGAAGAGTGAAGAGAGAGAAAGCAAAAACCCTCCTCTATAGATAGATATATAGAATAATCTCAGCCCTCCAAAACCAAACAATTTTAGCCCTGCACCTAGACAAAAGTCAATCAAGTTTGAGAAACCCCTTCCCTATGAATTATGGGAAAACGACATTTTATTTTACTATTTATTTTATTTTATTTTTTATTTATTTTTATTTTTATTTTTTTGGTTTTTGACCCAAAAAAATCTCGGGCTTTATCAAATTAATGAAAATTTTAAAAGACGAAGAGATATCACTGTGTTTGATTTGAGTTTTCTAAATTAAGTTTTTTGAAAGTTGAGTTTTTTGATTTTCGTGTTTTTTTGTTTTTAGTGAATATTTTTAAAATTTTAAACATTTTTTTTACTTTTTTAGATGCACCTTACTTAGATGTATCTAAAAAGTAAAAAAATTGTGAAAGAATATTTTAAAAAATAAAGAAATAAATAAAAATATAAAAAATATACTAAATTCTTGTATTTTTTTGTATTTTTGGTATTTAGTGAATTTTTAAAAGATTTTTTTTAAAATTTTTTTACTCTTTAGGTGTATTAATGTTAAGTGTGTCTAAAAAGTAAAAAATTTGTATAAAATATTAAAAAAATTTAGTAAAAACAAAAAAACACGGAAAATAAGAGTGTAGAATTTTCTGAAAACTATTTTTAAAAAATGGGAACAAAGGTGAAAAGTGAAATTTGAAATAGGAGAATAGTTTTTTTTTTTAAATTGATAAAAAAAAAACACGAAAAATAAGAGTGTAGAATTTTCTGAAAACTATTTTTAAAAAATGGGAACCAAGGTGAAAAGTGAAATTTGAAATAGGAGAATAGTTTTTTTTTTTTTAAATTGATAAAAATTTAATGAAAGAATTTAAGTAATTTATATCAAATTAAATTTTTACTTAAAGTATAAATCAAATTAGATAAAAATTTTGATGAGTCTGTTTGGATTGAAGGGTTTGTCCGATGAGACTTCTCATCATTTGTTTAAATGATTAATGAAGAAATTAAAAAAAATGATAAAAAAGTCAAATTACTCAAAATTTTAGTTTTATTTATCACGAACAATCCGTTTGAATGATGAAAAAATTAAAACAAATAATTATGGTCTCTCATCTAAGTGAGAAAATAAAATAAATTATTATATTTTTTCACTGTTACATTTTGATGGACGACACAGCAAAACATGTGAGAGAGGGAAATAAGTGATATTTTAAATAATTAAAAAAAATTAGGGAAGAATCTTGGTAGTATAAATATTTTATAACCAATAAATTTGTTTTCACTAAATTTACCTTCTTTTTTATTTTTTTGTGAGAAATGAAATAGACTTTTAGTGAGATAATTATTTTTTCTCAATATTTCTTACCCAATTTATAAACCAAACATGACCCCAAAAAAAAGGAAAAAAAAGGTTATGTAATGTTTGGTAGAATTTTAGAATTATGATTTGATAATAGAGTTTTATGTGAGTTTTGAAATTATGATTTGAACGTAAAAGATTTGTTTGTTATGAGTTTTGAATTGAGTTTGAAATGAATGATGTGACATATGATATTTGATTAAAAAATTTACAATTCATAACTAAACACACAACTCAAAATTCTATTCAAAACTCCTAAAATAAATTAAAAAAAATTCAAAAATATTTTTTATTTAAAATATAAAAATAACAGGTGTAAAAAAAAAAAAAAACAAAAACAATTCTGGTCAACCAGGGGGACAACCTGGTTAGCCAAAATTTTCCGCCCAAAAAAGAGTTTTTAAAAGTGAGTGTTCCAAACACGGCCTTAGGCCAAGTTTGGGAACACCCCAAAAAGCCAAAAAGTCAAAAAGTTACTCAAAAAGTTAAAAAGTTATCACTATTCACCAAAAGTCAACAATTACGGCTGCACAACTCCCAATTCTAATTTTCTCCTACAAATCAATTTTTACAATTTTTTATTACACATTTTTCCATAAAAAGTCAAAAAGTTAACCCAAACATTCATATTTTCAACCTCAATTTTTTAGTCTAAAAAGACAAAAAGTGCACTTATTTAGTCTTCCCAAACTTGGCCTTAGTTTCTCAACATTTCTTATTAAATCACATTATTCAAACATAAAAGTGATAAAATTTAGTGAAAAACTAAGGGTTGGTTTGGGGTGTCCTAAAAAAGTGCACTTTTTGTCTTTTTACGAAAAGATATGCAGAAAAGTAGAGAGGTGATGTGATGAAAAAAAGATAAAAAGATAAAAAGATGGATTATATAGGTTATGCCAAACAAGGCTTAAAAGTACTGTTTTATAAAAATATCTATATAACGAAACAAGCCTGCTAATGGGACATTTATCGTAAGTAACAATAGATTTAAAGGTTGAGAATAATTTCAAATTTTCTTCCTTCTCATCTTCACCGTTGGATATTAGCTTGCTTCAAACTTGAAACCTATTTTCAAAACATTTCAAACCCATTTCACTCTCCTTTCACCGCCCAAAACCCATTTCAACCTCTTCAACAACTCCACAACTCACCTGAATGCCTTCCCACTGAACCACCCCAACAAACCCATCTTAATCACTTGCTCCACCGCGCCTCCCAATCCCAAGATCGCGTCTTCAACTTCGCCGCTGGTCGAATCCGAGCTCTACAATTGGTGTGGCTCCGGCACAGAGGTAAAGATTTTTCTCTCCATCATCGCAGAGTCAGATCTGTGAATCGGACATCTCCTTTGTTGATTTTCTTTGATTTATTGCTTTTCTTTGTTGTTTTAATCAACACATCGGACATCTCCTTCATCAGACAGTTTTTTGTATCAAAATCGAACAATTTTTTGGTGTTTTGGTTGGGAAGGCTTGTTTTGTTTTGTGGCCAATTGTTTATTTTGTTGCCTAACAGTTTATTTTTTTGGTATTTATTTGTTTGCTATCATTTGAATTACCACGTATTTAAAGAAAAGCTCACATACACTAAGCAAATATAACCATGTATTTGAGTCTCAAAAGTACCTCTCTTCTCTGTTTCTTTGCATTATTTTTTTTTTTCCCTGGTTTATTTTCACTCACATACACCAAGCTCAATCCTACTGCCTATTGATTCTTTTGCTCATTATTCTTTTTTTGTTTTTTGTTTTGTTTTTTTTTTTAAGCTCAGATTATAGAGGAGTAACATCCATAAAGTAAGCACATCCATAAAGTAAGCACATCCATGTTATTTAATATTTCATTATCTTCATCTACCACGTTATTTAATATTTCATTATCTTTAATCTTCATTTCTTATTATTTAAGAGTTCTATAGATTTGAATGGTAGGATGATTTTACTATAGTGATATGTATGATAATAGTATAAATTTGTAACAGTACCGAAATATTGATAATTGTTTTTTTTTTTTTTTTGGCTCTTCATCAAATCAAACCAAACTAAATTGTGTTTCAAATCCGTCCAACTCAATAATTTGAGTGAGTGTATACAAGCAATTACCTGTTTGAAGCAGATATAAAACTGGACAAAAATTAAATCAAAGCACCAGTAACAATTATATATAGAGTTCTAATCATCAAGTCATCAAAAGCTAACAACCCACTAGTCAGAGGCATGTTATTAAATCAAAGAACCATATATTATTTAATACTTTGTTTTTTTTTTTTTATGAGTACATCTAACCATAAAGGGGTAGAGGAATTCTATTTCTCCCCTATTTGTGCTTCCATTCACCTAGCTATGTAGGGTTATTTTGGCTACTAATTCCTTTTTCTTTTCTTTTTTCTCAAAGTTGTTGTTGATGGTACTTGAGGCCTAAAATACTTGTAGTTTTTTTTTTCTAGAGCTATTGTGTCTATTGATGGCATTGATTGCTTTTTAGGTATTATTTTTTTCTAGAGCAACAATACTTGAAGTTTTTTTCTCAAGGTTGTTGTTGATGGTACTTGAGGTCTACAATGCTTTTTGTTGATGGTAATTGAGGTCTAATAGATTGAAAATTTTGGGTATACTATCATCGTGCAAATCATCTCTCCCCACCTTTGATCAACATAAATCCTATTTCACTGTGTTTTTTGGGGTTTTCCATATGCTTTCATTGCTGTCGTGTAGAGATTCTTTATTTTTTTTTTTGATGCTTTACTATAGAGATTCTTCAATTTAATACTTTACTATAGCTTACTATAGGAACCAAAACCATTCAATAGCTAGGATTTAGCTCAAGGGCCTCAATCATGATGGAAAAAGATTGTAATGATTAACAACATTCAATTGAATAGGTCATAATTTATGAAAACAGTAATTAGTATGCTAAAATACTCTCAAATAAAAATCCTTTCTATAAGACATGTTTCATTAAAAGATGCTATGTAAAAAAATGCATATGGCATGCCTTTCATAACGCTAAGTTACCATTGCTCAAATAAATGTAAGTAATTTGGTTTTGGTTTGATTGGCCATTTTTGTTTTTGGTATTCCATTTTGGTTTGATTGGCCATAAATGTTTATACATATGAAGTGTTGTTGGCATGGATAATAAATAGTTAATTATGCTTTTGGATTTATTTTTTATATTTTTTTTCAGGTGTGATTTTGTAATTTTAGATTATGATTTGGTTTATATATTTTTTTTATTTTTGCGATTTTTTTTCAAGTGCGATTTTTTTTCCAAGTGATATGGGCATTCGAGTTTATTTTAATGAACTAATTATTGGTAGAGCTTTGTTAGGAAAAGAAATTATGTTTCTATGTCACTTTTGTTACATTGAATTTTTTTTTTATTTTCCTGTCATTTTGTTTGCTCTTTCTCTCTCGTTTCACATAATGCAGCTATTTGTTCTAGACAGTGAGTTTCATTTGCAGGTAGGATAGAGTCATGGATGTTAATGTTAAAATCTGTTCTTGGTTCTCTTACCATGCATATTGTTGTCCCAACGTTAAAGTTAAGTTTTTATTTTTGCATCATGCAACTAAAGTGCTTACTTGCTTACTTTCTGTTGCAAATTACAGGTGGGTCGGAAAAGGAAAAGACTATAGTAGTAAATGTTTGGTGATATGGACTATGTGATATAGTCTTTGTTTGTCATTTATAAAAAAATAAAAGGAGTCTTTGTTTGTCGATTCTTAATTTTCAACTATTCTTTTGTTTCTATTGAATTTTGTTCTTCTTTACTTGCATTTATATGAGTAAAAAAAAAAAAGGAATTATGTCATCACCATTTTTAGGTTTTCTTGATGAACTTGCAGCAACTTCATAGTGTCCATCTTATCACCTCTACCACTACTAATCATGGACACCACACTACTAAAAAAAGTAGTTTTTGCGACCTTTACAAGCCATCACAAATAATAAAAACACAGTCGCAAAAGACCTTTTGCGACAACCCATGCGACGGCAAATGGGGGTCTCGAATGTGGGGGTGGCAAATACTTTTTGCGACAGCAAAGCAACGGTCACAAATTATTTGCGACCACCTAAACTACTTGTGGCGACTGATATTTTGCCGTCGCAAAAAACAAAGAAAAATGCTAGCATGTTTTTGGCAACCACTTGTTACCGTCACAAAAAAACAAAAATAAAAAAATAAAGAAACATAAAAGTGTAACATTAAGCACTCTAGGAGTAGCAATGAGAAGAAGTTAGACAGTATAGCATTATAATTTAATCAAGCATTGCATTTGAGTCTCAAAATTGGAGCTATATGTGAAGTTATTACAACTAAAAACCAAGAAAAAGTTCTTTCATGACAAAAACACAATCCAGATAGAATGCTAGTAAAGCCATAACTTCTCTAATAAAAGTAGTGCTCGTAATCGCTGCTTGACCCACAACATGCGAGTTCTCAAAAAGCGCCTTTGTTTCTGGAATCTTTTCCATTTCTGATTATTGTATATCGTTACATGTAACGCTTGCAGCAAAACAACCTGCAAATGGGAAGGAGAATCAATTTAATAGTAAACCACTAACATTTCCGATTTAGTTCACTGTAAACAAATCTGTCATTTGGAGCAAGAAAGTACTAGTGTGAAATCACTAATTCTAGTTTTATTGAGCACCATCTAATAAAGCTTTAAACTTCATAATAAGAACTCTTGATTAAATTTCCAGTCAATCAGAGTTTCTTTTTTCTTTTTTTTTTCCTTTCATGTATCTCACTACAAACAAGTGAACAACATAGACATCAATCATCAAGGATGATAACATGTCAAAAAAAGAAGAAAAAAAAAAAAAAGAAGAGACCATCTTCAGATTTTCACCTACCATCTTCAGAAGAGACCATCGTCGATTTTGTTGTAAGCTTTCCTAGCATATTGCAAAATTTCACTTCAATCATCTAATTCCAATATCTCCTTTACTTGAAAATATCTGCATTTAAACACAAAACAAATTGAATTTTGGAAAATGCATTGACACATTTCACAAAGATCTTGAATATATTACCTTCTTGTTAAGGGGACGAACTTTAAAATTATGAATAAATTCACATCCCTCCTGCTTTGGAGCATTGGCAAAATTTGGTCTGACAAAGAGAGAAGCACATAACAAACAAGTAAAGTATTGTCATCTCATTTGAAACATAATGACAAATGGTAATTGTGAAATTTTCCTTAAGAATTGGATTAATGCGTCATCTCTTATTTAATTAGCTATTCTCTGAGCTAATTTTCCCTGAGCTACTACAAGTGATCACTATAGCAAAATAACCATTTGAATAATTGTGATAAAGACATACGCATCAAAGTTTCAACTTAAAAATGAGCAAAACAAACACAAATAGACACTACGACTAAAGTTCATTTAAATGCATTAATAATGACATGTTTTCCAATGTTTGAAAGGGAGAAACAGTTTGCAAACCAAAACACAAAGAAGGGTTCACACACAGAAATCACAAAGTAGAAAAAAGATTCTATAGAACAGAGAACAAAAGATAGAATGCCAACTACAGCTGCCCGTATTAACACTACCTTTTAGCTACCCATTTCGTCCATGTGAGTAGTTAAACCTATAGTACAAAAATAATTTATCACATCTACAGAAGGCAAAAGACTATGAAATGCCACCAACAAACTGGAGAATTAAATTATCCATCCTATTTCATAGAAAGGGGCACTGAAATAAATAAAATAAATTAAAGTCTGATGAGATAACCAGAACTACAGGACAAGGTGGCCATTTACATGATAAATTTTGAAGTAGTAATAAAGATAATAGTATTACCTTCTGGATTCTCCATTTGCATTTTCTGCAATTGCATTAGTACTAGGTTTGTGCAACACTTGGAACCAGTAGAACACAATTGTAGAACAGTTACACAAGGAATTCTTTCGAACTGGGTTGTATCCTTCTTAGGCACAAGAGTCGCAATCAAGGACACAATATATTAATTGTGTCAAAGTATACTTAAGTATCCATTAAATTCAATCACAATATTTTTTTTGGGAGGGGGGCAAATTCAATCACAACCCTTATTAGTATCACTGTAAGAACCGAGGATGATGAAACTGCAGATGTATGTTGCATAGCCCTCTCCAGCGTCTTCCGGTGCAATTCCTAAGAAGGAACATGACAAAGGAATATTTAAGCCACACCAAGTGGCAAGAGATTTTATTTGCACAAGATATGGCCCAAACTTAGACTCAAAACAATGATATTTGTACATGCACAAGCAGTACACGAGTTTGAGCATGCACTTAAAACTCTAGCAATCAATGAGTGCTTCTTTTTGGGAGTAACAATGACGGAGCCTCAAGAATCTGTAAGTTGTAAGCATCACATCTTAGTGAAATATAAACAACATAGTGAACCTTTGATAAATATGCAATTTTCATTAACCATAGCAACGAACCTTTCTGTTTAGTGGAAGTGCTTTGAATTTACAAATGGTTGATATTGCACGCTCAGGTTCAGTAGTAGATTTTGGCCTGAAATTAACGTCAAATGTCCATCTATCAGCCTGTTGGATAAATGTTTAGAGTTTAGCAAACAATCTAGAGAAATGTTCAGATCAACTAGCCAAAGCAAATCGAGATTTAATAATTTAAAAAAATAAAAAATAAAACAAATCTTCGAATCAAAAACATGTTTCGAAATCAGAGTTTGCACCGCCTTGATAAAAATAAATTGAATTAGAAAATTTTCATGTTGATCTTCGAAATCCACTTCCTCTGAACTGATATTGATCATCGCGACAAGCCGAAGAGAATTTGGGAGCTGAGAGAACAATATAGGGATTACAGAGACTGAGAGTTGGATTCATACATAGAAATTAGGCTTACCGATTATGAATCAATCAAAATCTTCATCAACAGCATATCGAAATCTTCAAATCTTCATCAATAATCGATCAAAATCTTCAAATCTTCATCAACAGGTGATTGAAATGTTCAAATGAACAATAAAATTGCGAATGGTGAGTCGACAGAGAGAGTTGAGTGAGAGAAAGTGAAGAGTGAGTGAGAGAGAGAGAAGAAGAGTTTTCATACCATAGGAGATAGATTTGGGAAATAAGAGTGAAAGGAGATAGGGCAAGTTTTACGCAATTTGTTTTTTTTTTTTCTCTCAAGTTAAGAACACAATTGGGGTTCAATTAAAACGAGATTTTGGTGTAAAAATTGATTTTTTTGCGACGGTCAAATAATCAGTCACAAAAAATAGTCGCAATATTTCTAGTAGTGCCACCATTTTTGGCCATTTAAATTTCTTTTTGAGAAAATTTAGCCGAGTAAGTTGCCTTTGTTTATACACCTCTCTCTCTCTCTCTCTTTCTCTCTCAAAGGTGCTAGATTGCAGGGGGTGGTGGAGATGTTGGGCTTGATTTCTGCCAGGTATTTCAAATGATTACAACATGTAGAATTTACTTCCATGGTTTGTTTTTGGATTTGTTTTTAATTATGTTCACACTATTTTGGAGCTTAATAAGTTGTTTTCTTCAAATGCATTCTTGGATGTTTAAGAACTTAAGACTACACATCTATATAACAAAACAACTCTGTTTTTTATTCTTGATGGGACTTTTGTCCCTTTGTCAAAATATGGACCATCAGATTGCTTCAATCCAAGGGCTAAAAATGTCTCACTCACTCTGGCAAGAAATTATGTTAGAGATACATTTATAACCAACGGTTCAGATCAATCCTAATCAAAATCTAAGGGCCAAATACATAACATTGTTTGCCTCTTTTGGATTCCTACTCATGAGTACCAAACACACCTCATCTCACAAACGTCCTCCTCTCTCTCTCTCTCATCCTCATTTCAAATTTTAATCTCCTTCTCTCTGGTTTTGTTTCATTCTCTCTCTCTCTCTCTTCTACTCACTCTCCTTTCTTGGTTTTACCTATGGCAACTTTGTTGAGATTTGAGTGCACTGTTTGATCAAATGCAAGGTAGATCGATCGACGCAACTAGCGAGAAAGAGATCGATATCCTCTTCAAATTTTTCTTCTCTTTTCTAGGCATATCTAGGGTTTCTCAGTTCAAAAATTTTTTTTTTGGGCCTTTTTTTATTTTATGTGTCTCTTTGTATGTATACACTATGTTCTGTAAAATGCCTCACATAAGTCTTTGAAATATTTTTCTAAAATAGGTCTCCAAAATGCCTCAATTTTTATTTGGGTTTTCGTTGGGTGTCTAACATATGCAACACAAGAGTGTAATTTTTTAGGGGGTAATCAAATGGCCTCAATTATATTATGTGATTTGTTTCTCATTTATATTATGTGATTTGCTTCTCATTTATATTGCCTCAATTAAAATCTGTCTCTTTGCCCCTCTATATTTTGTGCGTGTCTTCATGTATATGCCATGTTCAGTAAAATGTCTCAATTAAAATGGTTTATTTTCTCTTGGTTAAACTAGTTGCTTATATAATTTTACTTTTTCGTTGTTCAAATAGTGAGTGAATCTATAATAACAGGCCAAGTAAATGTAGTGTATGGTGGTAAGGTTTAGCAAAAATAGAGGTATATATTCAAATTGATGATACAAACAATGGGAGTTGGATGTTATTTTTAATAATAAACAGTAGGCAATTTTTGGGCAAAAGATAATGGAGCGAGCTTCCTTATATTTTCTATTATTTAGAATGACATAGGCACGGAATCATTTGAAACTTTCATTTGCCTGGGATTAAAAATTTAAAAATTTAAAACTTCCATTCCCTCTCTCTCTCTTTCTAATTCTTTTAATTTTATTTTTTGAGTTGTAGGCCCTCAAAGTCCATCAAGGACCAAGGTTGAGAGTGAGTTGCAAGTTTTCTTTATTCCAACTACTCTCTTCCTGTAAGTCTTTCCTTTATTCCCATTCTTAGTATTGTTAAGTTCCATTTGGGTACTCTCTCTCTCATACTTTTGTGTTTTTGTGGGTATGCTTTCTTTCATGTCTTGGGTTCTGTCAATTGATTTGGTAAACAATTTCATCAATATTTTAACAATGCCTTCATCAATTGAGGAGCGGTTCTTTTTTCCCCTTAAAATGAGTTGTTTCTTCACTACATAGCTGTTGTGTGTCAACCTCTTCAGCAATTTCGGTGTTCATATTAATTCAAACAGTGCACAATATCAACATTGTGGCCTAATTTTTACTTCTTTTTTTTTTTTGAAGCCAAATTTTGTTTTTTGTTGTGGCAGTGCATTGGTTGCTTCCCATGAGCAAACCAAATGGATCCAAAAGGGTTGGTTCATATTTTGCTCATAAGGGGATTTGAATAGCTGGAGCTATTTGATTTTATTATTATTATTATTATTATTATTTTGCAGTTGTTGTTCGTAGCATTTCAATGCACCATGTTAACCCATTAAAGGTATCCTAATTCTTTAATAGGATGCTTGGCTTCCATTGGGAATAAAATTGTTCAATCTGTTTTTAGTTTGCTAATTTTTTTTAAATTTAATATTTTCATTTCTAAGTTACTGAAAATGATAAATGATAAAAACATATATACTCATTTCTTATTGCAGTACATTTGTTTTGTCATATGGTTGCTTCGTCTAATTATTAGTTCTCTATTATTTGTCATATGTCATTTTAGCTACCATTTAGCAGGTTTGTTTATGTAGTGTTGATTGAATTTTTCTTTCTTCAGTTTCTTTATGGATAACTGAAAGAGGAGTGCAAAGAAGTTGGGCATAATTGTTTGTGTTTCTTTATGGTTTTAATTTCATTTATATGAATATGAAATGTGTAAAAATCTCTATTATTAGAATCATATGATTTGCGATTCGATTTAGTGGGTAATCAATACGAACAGGTTGTATGAATCACAAATAGCCACGAATCATAGGTGAATCGGTGAACCAAATCGGTGAATCGTGAAGTGAATCGATTTGATTCACTAAAATCGATGTTGGACTTTCTTTTTTAGTTTTTTATTGTTGTAAAAGGGTTCACACAACCTTTTTAAGGTCTTTAGGATTACTATATGCCATCTTTTGACTTTTTCCCTCCCTCTTTTGTTAGTTGTTCATATCTCTTTATTCCCCTTAACATTTTATCCATAAGTCAGTGGAGTTTTGTTAGTTTTATTTATAGATTTATTTATTTTTGTTGCTATTGTTGTTGAAATATATATAAAATTAAGATGAATCTTCCTTTCAAATTTTGCAAACCCTTTAGCTCCTTCATCTGTGTTGGACACACCCGCCTTTTATTGTTGTTGTTTTCTGGAATTAGTTTAAAGTATGAAAAATCTTTTCTCCTAAAATCTATGCACAATTTTTGTTGAGTTGGAGTGTTGTAAAGAAATTATCAATTCATGTAAGGCTGATGTTTTTATTCTTAATGCTTTGTACATGTGACGAAGGCATCGGAATTTGGTGAGGAGAATAGTTCTAAAGGCTTCATCAATAGAGGTAATCAAGATTCTATCCCTTTTTTTGCTTCTGTTTTTTATTTTTTGTACATTCATGTTGTAAGTTGATGATTTAATCTTTTACTCGATTTCCATAGTTCAAAGACCAACTTCCTTATGTCACTTGGAATAAATTACAACCTATTTCCTGTTATTTTAATTAAATTTATTGTTACTCATTCCATTCTAAGGATTTGGGTATAGTTTTGCAATAATTGAAGTTCAAAATAATTGGTTTTACCACCATATAATTTCTGTTGCTACAATGTTCACCAAATGCTTGATAAATTGTTTCTCTATTTGATGTGTTTGATGTGTTTATTAATTCATAGGAAATGGAATGTGAGGGGAGATTAATCAAATGATCAAACTTTTGGTTGAGGAAAAAGTTCCATTTGCTAAACTTTTGACTGGGTGGAGAAAAAGTTCCCTTTTGCTTGACTGGGTTGAGTTTATGAATTTATCTATTTTTTTGGATAATGTTCTCTTTGCTAATTATTTTTATTAATAATTAAAGTTTTTGGGAAAGACCAAAAAAATTAGCATTTTTTTTTGTTTGCATTACTTCTAAATAGTTTGAATGCTCTCAATTGGATCTCAGTTGGATCAAACTTTTGTTTGCATTACTTCCAAATTTTGGTCGCCAATTTAGTTCTTTTTGTTTATGAAAATAGAAATAAAATATAAAAAAAAAATCCATTTGACCTATATGATATATAATAATCCATCTAAACCATTCGATATAACCTGTAATTTGCAAGAATCATTCAAACCAACAAAATCAACTGAATCATGAACAACCAACAAAATACATAAATCAACTAATACTTAACCTGTTTAATTAAAGTTATCAACTACTATAAGTTTTCATCCACAAGTAATTACAAACTACATAATCATCCAATTAAAATGGTCATGTAATCTATATAATTATTGAACTCACATCCATCTAGTATAAAAATTTAAAACATAACAAGTAGTTGTTATTATGTTTTAAATTTTTATTCATATTCATCTATTCATAAATATAACTAGTAGTCTATCCAAATACTAACCATACGCATCTATCCAAAAATATATAATCCTTAAAAAAATGTAACAAGTGCCAAATAGTCCTGTACAATTCAGCTTTGTCACGATCCGCTCCCTGTACCCAAGGGTTAAGCATCGTGATGGCCAGTAACTAAAGTTACCTCTGGCCAATTCTTGAACAAATAAATAAATGCGAGCGGAAATAATATTTAAGTGAGGGTACCAAAATAATCATCGGAGCTTCTATTTTTATTACAAAACTTACTGACCAAAAATGCCAATATTTACATATAAAAAATATCATAAAAGTATTGTGTGTGTCTATTCCGCAACCCCGCGTCTAAGTCTTTCCAAAAGCTATTTTTGAATTACATTGTTTCCTGAGCTATAAGCACATGACAGAGTGAGAAGTATTATACCAAGAGTATAAGGGACACAAAATAACCATGGATAGTTATATAACTAAAATATTTAAGATAACTTAGTCTGAACAAATAATCATTTAAGTAGCAAAATTGAGATTTTGTAAATAAATAACCATAACCACAGTATCGAACAAAATAGAACAGAGGTCACAGGAGTGACAGTCAAAACAGAGATACGGATTCAAGAGGTGGCTCGTACGGATTATAGAGGTGGCTCCCACAACAGTGTATCACTTATCTCCGCACAGCACTTTGCTTCGCACAGAACAGAGGTCAATGGATCCATGACAATAGAGGGCCACAAAGTGACCAAACAGAGGCCAATGGTTATTTAAGTCCCCCAAGGCGTGGGACTCCCGTGGTGGTACTTACAAAACGTAATTGTTTATAAGGTCATAGTCAAATATTCTTTGAAATATAAACAAACATATCCATGGGTTTTTATTTTAAACAAATAGAGTTCAGAAAATAACCCACGTAATGGAAATAGTAATATAATTTATGAGAGGGAAGTTTTTATGTGCACTAGGGCCGAGCTAGGCCAAGGCGCGGTAATGGGCCGTTCTGTGGGCCGCGGTAAAAAGTGCCCAGTGAAAGGATCCTGCGGTTAGCTCGGTCCAATTGTGGTTGTGGTTACCACGGACAGTATGGTAATATTTAGCTCGGTCAAAGTTTATTGCGGTTAGTTCGGTCTCAGCGGACTAAATCAAGGTATAAGTAATGAAGAACCGAGCTAGTCGGCGCTCGGACATTTCTGCTGCTTTAGCATAGGCCTTGTTCGCTCGGTCGTTTTGTTATACTACCGAGGTAAAACCATCTCACTTGGTTTAAGTAGTGAGGGGGGTGTTGAAGGATAAGCATTATCTTTCAGGAGTATGAATCCTAGAAGCGCTCTACATGGAGGAATAAGAGTCCTACTAGGATTGTGCCACACGGAACCTATAAAAGCTCACAACATCACCTATGGAGAGGTAGAACAACTTTGATTCTCGAATACACAGAGCTTTTGCCTATTTGTCTATTTTGCTGACTTAGGCATCGGAGGGGTATCCGGCACACACCCGCCGGCTAGCTCACGTTTGTGTTTTCAGGGAGTAAAGCGACAACGTACGGACTCCTGTGGTGGTACTTATAAAACGTAATTGTTTATAAGGTCATAGTCAAATATTCTTTGAAATATAAACAAACATATCCATGGGTTTTATTTTAAACAAATAGAGTTCAGAAAATAACCCACGTAATGGAAATAGTAATATAATTTATGAGAGGGAAGTTTTTATGTGCACTAGGGCCGAGCTAGGCCAAGGCGCGGTAATGGGCCGTTCTGTGGGCCGCGGTAAAAAGTGCCCAGTGAAAGGATCCTGCGGTTAGCTCGGTCCAATTGTGGTTGTGGTTACCACGGACGGTATGGTAATATTTAGCTCGGTCAAAGTTTATTGCGGTTAGTTCGGTCTCAGCGGACTAAATCAAGGTATGAGTAATGAAGAACCGAGCTAGTCGGCGCTCGGACATTTCTGATGCTTTAGCATAGGCCTTGTTCGCTCGGTCGTTTTGTTATACTACCGAGGTAAAATCATCTCACTTGGTTTAAGCAGTGAGGGGGGTGTTGAAGGATAAGCATTATCTTTCAGGAGTGTGAATCCTAGAAACACTCTACATGGAGGAATAAGAGTCCTACTAGGATTGTGCCACACGAAACCTATAAAAGCTCACAACATCACCTATGGAGAGGTAACACAACTTTGATTCTCGAATACACAGAACTTTTGCCTATTTGTCTATTTTGCTGATTTAGGCATCGGAGGGGTATCCGGCACACACCCGCCGGCTAGCTCACGTTTGTGTTTTCAGGGAGTAAAGCGACGATGTACGAAGGAACGCAAACTTGATCAACAGGATTATACGAGAAGAATATTTCATGCTCATACAATTGGCGCCGTCTGTGGGAAAACCAGAAAGAATAAAACCTCTTGATCAAGTTTTTCCTCTCTAATTGAAAGTAATGGCGCATAATGAATATTTGCCCCAGTCTGCTATCGACAGACAAACCCCATAGGGGGGTGGGAGGCGCGAAGATTTGCCTTCTATCCCTCCCATGGCGGATTTAGAGCCCCAGTGACAGAACCCCCAGAGGGATGCCAGGGGAAGGTGGGCTAACAGCCCCCGTTGCTCTCAAAGTCCTGAAAGACAGAGGCAGATGATGGATCCTCAAGTTCTGGAGGATCGCGTAAAGGAACAAGACGAGTTAATAAGGAAGTTGGCCGCAGACATGGAGTCTATGAAGCGC